AACTTGTTTTATTCTATTGCTTTATAAGTCACAAGCACTTTTGAAAACAAGTTTATTGCCATTTTGTGCATATGTTTGTGCAAGAGTGAGTCTTTCTTCCACATGTATACAAGTAACAAAGAAAAGAGGGATTCAGATGCCCTCAATCTGAAATGGTAGAGCTATGAGCCTCACAACTTGATGGTAGGTATATGAACTTAGGTCACCTCCAAAACTAATATGTGCTGAGCCACCTGCCAACTTTCATAATACCTTTTATCCAATAAACCAAAAGTCTCTCACAGATTAACAAGAGCAACAAAACCTAAATAAATGAAGAAGTAAATAAATGATCCTTGGAAACAGGATGCATCAAAATTAAGATGATGTGTATGTTAAATTTGCACCTAAATGACTACAGTAAAATGATAATTCCCAACAATTTATAACAGGAAAGCTGATTACAAAGCTACATTCGTATTGGAAGCACACAGAGTACTCAATGGGATTATGAAAAATAGTACACAGACTGACATAATATGACTTCTTTCTGGGTGGTGGTGGTACACACCTTTAATCCCAACACTCAGGAGGCAGAGACAGGAGGATCTCTGTGAGTTTGAAGCCAGCCTGGTCTACAGAGAGAGTTCCAGAACAGGCTCCAAAGCCACACAGAAACCTTTTCTTGGGGGGGGGGTGGAATTACCACAAAGTTGATCAATCAAGAATGTGTATGATATTTGGGAAAGAATAAAGAGAATGGTGAGAAAAACTCAAGACCAAAGGTAGAAAAATATAGTCAGCTATTAATCAAAAGACCAAAGGAAACTTAGTCAGGAAATGTGTGATCTTGACCAATGTTATCCAGATACCTATGATTCTATGTGTATAGAAATTAAATAAAGACTTCATAATTTTCACAAAATTAACTCAAAGTGACCCTTAAACTGTTGTTTACTGATGCTCCAGCTACTGGTATTTCTTCCATGAGAGACCCCATGCCTAGAGCCTTTTCTTCAAAAAGAGATGATCTACTGCTATGGTCCTGCAAGTCCTTATACCTCCTTCTGTTTTCAGGTAAACCCAGCCATACTGATGCCCAATCACAAAACAATATAGAATAATTTCTGCTTCCTGTCAAATGGATTATAGCACAAGATATAAATTCTGTTCTATCTACCTGCCCAACACCATACACACCTAAGAAACCTCTGCAGACCTGAAACTCCCTTTGTGCCCTGGAACTAAACCTCACTGAATCACACTATTGCAGCTGGTGGTAGCAGAAAGTTAGAAACATTTTAATCCTGCATTGCTAAATCAACATCATTAAAGTTCTACCAGCTTTTAAACTATTTGAAACATATATAAGACAAACTTGAAAGTAGGCTGCAATATTCAGAACTTCTAGAAACCAGATTATCAGTTCTCAAACCTGTCTTCCCACTGCATACTAAAAGCATGACTCTGTTTCTACACTGGACAGTGATATTTCAAGCATAATATCCTACCATGCCAGGGCTGCAGAGTCTCCCTCTCCCCAGGAAATCCATACACAGGGAGGCTCAGAGGACAAGGACCACTGCCCAGGTCATTACATAGAGCAATAGAACCACAGCCTGGCTCATGGTTCGTCCAAATCCCAGCAGAAATGACAGCTCAACAGACCTTCTCTGAACAGCCTACACTCACTCTGGCATAGCTTGTGGTCTTCCTTACAACTCATTACAACAGAAGCAAAGAAGAATCCTAGAAAGTACCACCTGTAAGCTACCTCCCACTATTATTCCTGCTTGCAAAGCCTTCCCAGAGTCTGTCAGTGGCTAATGCCAACCTGCTGGGCCTCAGAATATTATCAGCTCCCCCACTGGGTGTGATTAGAGATCAAATTACTCAGATATCACAGAACTTTCTGCTTGGCCCTTCCAGTCCAGTAGACAAGGCCCTAGTCCAAAAAGTTTGTATTTTAGTAGACATTCATCCAATTTCCTAGAGCATACAGTTTTCCTCATTCAAATCACAGGGTTCTTTGTTTGTACATTTCATTATATACTCAATGAGCAGTGCAGGAAACCTATTGCCTCATACCGGGGAAATCCTTCAGCCAAATACAAGTCACAATTACAATTGTTGTTAAAAAAAAATGGACCATGAATTAGAAGATAATAAAGGGTCATGGTAAGGCTTGGGGACAGGAAAGAGAATGTGGATACGATATCGTTATAATCTCAAAAAATTATTTTGAAAAGTAGAAAGAAGATTTATGGCCATGGCTCATGGTTCATCCCTGTCCATGAAGCTCTGACAGCTCAGTCAACCTGTTCTTCCTGGACTGAGGACAGTTGTTTCTACATTCACCAAGGCATGGCTTGTGGTCCTCCTTACAGCTCTGTACAGTAGAATAAGAGAATCCTGGAAAGAACCTGTAAACTATCTCTGGTGCTCCTAATTGCCAACCAGAGTCCCACTAGGACCACCCAGCTGGGCTTCAAGACATTAGCAGTTACCCTACTGCGTGAGCAGAGATCAAATATCTCAGAAAGCAAACATCCTCCAGTTTTGTCCTTACACGCTATAGTCAGACAAAACCCTAATCTGGGAAATTTATAGTTTAATAAAATCTCCCATTCTCCCAGAGCACGTCCTGTTCCTCCTCCAAGACACTAGGTCCTCTGTGTGGTCTGTGGACCCATGAAATGGCCAGACGGGACATTTATGGAACATCTAAAATTGATCACCTCACTACTCACAGCTAATGTCAACTACAGTCACAGCAGGAAAGATTTTACCCTCCTTCTTGTCCATCCTTTGTCTGTTGTGACTACACTGGCTTTACAGTTGGTCAGTGAACTCATTTCTTACACAGGTCCCATTTCACTCTTAAATTCACAATAAAATCTACAGAAATTGGAAGATGCTCACTCACTGATCTTTCTCCATGACACAGACCAGCCAAGGTCTAGCCTGGTAGGATTTGCAGGACTGTCTTTCCAGCACTAGGTAGCAGAGAAAGGATTAGGTGTTCACAACAATTCTCAGTTACATAGTATGATGCAAGCCTGAGCTACAGGAGACATTAATCTAAACCAGTTGTTCTCAGTTTTCCTAGTGCTGTGACCCTATAATACAGTTACTCATGATGTAGTGACACCCCACCTATAAAATTATTTATACTACTACTTCATAACTATGTTTTTGTAATTGTTATAAATTATAATATAAATATCTCTACGCTCTGATGGTCTTAAGCCAGTGGTGTCATAGGTTCATTTAATCCCCCAAAAGGAATCATGGCCCACAAGGTTGAGAATTATTGCTCTAAACTGATATAAATAAATAGAGAAATAAACAGCACTTAAAAAATGGAATGAAATGCCAAAACTTGGAAACATTGGAAAATAGAAACAAAGAGATTATAGCACTTATGCCATTGGAGAAAATGAAATCTAAAAAACGATAACCAATAATTGACTTCTTAAAATTATAAAAAATAAGACAACACTCAGTTATACTGACTTTGAAACAGAGTAGGCACTTCAGTGGTAGGGAGAATGCCATTAATAATTTGTCCTATGTAAAATGTTAGCTGCTGAGTGCTGTAAGCTGACACATGGAGTTACAGTCAATGGCCTATGTCTCAAACGTCTGAGCTGACTTCACTGTGTCAACCAGGATTGAACATATCTGCATGGGAGAGTTCACTAATTAGAAACTAAATACTTAGGAGTTCAAGCTCTCCTCCCTAAACCGTACACCCACCAGTGTCTGTCTTCATTCACAAGGAAGGAATTAATGTATGATGGGAAATTAAACAGAAATTCAATCACTGTACCCCATTAGGTCCTTCTTTGTAATGGAGACCCCTGCAGCCTGTGGCCTTAAACTTCAGACTAAGATCTAGCTATTCTCCAGTGTGTTTACCCCCTCCAATGTACACAGTACATGGTTCCTACTATTCTGGTCTGATGGGAGAAGCCATGTTCCACATGCAAATCCTTTTATTGTTACTGCAATGGGCAGTACCACAGTATGACTCAAACTGGTACTTTTAGAGCTCGGTGGTGCAGCATACCTGTAATCCAAGAATTTATGGTGTTCAGCCAGGAGAATAGCAAGGGCAATGCCCTGTGGGGCTGCAGACAGGATTCAAGTCCACCTCAATCAGCACAGGGGACACTGAGTCACATCTCCTTTCCTAAGAGCTGAAAAAACCAGCTGTTCTAGAATTATTATACTCTCCTGGCACACAAGGTTGTGACACCTTAACGGGCCCTGAGCAGCAGGTCAGAGGCCTTTGATGGGGAAGTGGGTCTTCTGGCTGCTTGTAAATCATGGTTGTCTCATTTGTTTTAGGAATGTACCTTAATGGCTGATTAATCCTGTTGAACAAACATTTGCATCTCATCATACTAATTTCTAACAGGCATGGTGTGCATGCTACTCATCTTTGGATATTTGGGATGCAGCCCTCCCTCACTTTAATTCTACTTTGTGTGACTCAATGTCTCCTAAGCACTGTTAAATCCTTATACCATTAATTCTACGATCATTATAATCTTCTACATCACAGTTTAGTAGCGGAGCACTACTCTACACAGGAGAAACCATATACAAGCCACACGAAATTAACTACAGACGGATCCCAAAGCTAAATGTTAAAAGTGCAGAACTTCTGAAGACCCAGGAGAGACCAAGAGTCTCCGCGTTTGGCGAATGTGCTGATATCTCTCCACACGCAACGATATATGCACGACAGACACCACTGTCTGCAGCTCCCCATGCTCTGCTCTGTGCATACGCAGCCCAGGCAGTCAAGGGATTCAGCGGCTGCCAACAGAGAGATGCAAGTTTAGGACTACTCAAGCAGAAAACGCTAAACTCTGTGTCTGTCCGCTGGCTCCCACCCGGCCACCACATGGGCTGCGAGTCTCAGCGCCGCTCCACATACTTTGGGGACAGCAGCCCCTCGCTCGCCAAGCCCGGCCACTCCTTCAATCTGTGTAGAGCAACTCCTCACTCACCATGGTGCAGCTGCCAAGCTCACACTGCTATGTGCCCCCACAAGAGAACCGAAGCCCGGGAAATGGATCGGAAGTCTGGCTACCGTTAGGACCCTCCCATCTGACTGGCAGGTCTGCTGGAGGTTCTGATTGGCTGGTGCGGTCTGAGTGACGGGGCGGGTGAGCAGAAGGAACTCAGCACCGTGGTCCAAAACTGGCTTCTAATCTAAAGACAGACCTGTCCCCAAGATTGGCTGGAAATTTATGCCAAAATCAACAGCAAGTCTCTTGCTAATGTAAATCAATGGGTTCGGTTTTAAAAGGAAGCATACAATTTCAGAATATTAACTAAAATTAAACTAATTAACCTGGCATTAAAAAAAAAAGAAATGAAATGGTTGGTGGAGGCACAGGGATATAACCCCAAAACTCCACAAAGAAGGCAGGCAGGTCTCTGCGTGTTCATGGCCAGACAGCTAGGAATGCTACACAAAGAAACACTGTCTCAAGAAAAAAATATCAAAAAAATTTTTAGAAGGTGCTTTCAAGCTTCTGCTGTGAGTATTTATGTATCTGACATATGTGGGTGGTTGGGAAGGGATTTCTAAAAGAAATAGTCTGTGTCCTGAAGGGGCTGCAGTATCTGAGAATGAATTTCAATGACTGCCAGCAGTAGTGAACCTGGGTGTGTCTTCAGGTCCCTGGAGGAGGAGTGTAGCTAGCATTACCTTGCCAATAGGCCCCAGTCATATGTTAATGTCAGAGCCTGAGGTTCCTCAAAAGGGACTGAATGGAGACCCTTTCTTACCTAAATGTCTGACTTTGTGAAAAAGACTTGTGGGAAGTGGGCAGCACTTGAAACTAAGGGTTTTTTTTCTTAGTCTTGCTGTCTGGACCTGTTCCCCTCAGAATGCTCCCTCCCAAAAGGGAAGGTCCTGACGTCTTACTCTCTTCCCAGGATAACTTCGTACCTTCCATTTTGATGGATCGTTATGTACTGGTGATTCCTAACCCTAACTGAACTCTTCCATTGTAAATAAATAAAGTAAGCAAATATGTCAACAGATGAATGAACGAATGGACGAACAAACCAACAAACAAACAAAGAAAAAGTTCACAGTTGTTTATTGACTTGTTTTCATAATGAAAACTTTTGACATGTGACCTAGAAAGTGTCTGGAGAATAACTTTATACTCAACACCCTCTCTACTTTCTGTCTCTGTCTATCTCTCTCTGTGTCCCTCTGTCTCTGTCTGTCTGTCTGTCTGTCTGTCAGTCTGTCTGTCTGTCTGTCTGTCTCTCTCTCTCTCTCTCTCTCTCTCTCACACACACACACACACACACATGTTGGTCCCGGGGGGGGGTCACGCAAAGATGAGAACACCACTGATGGGTCCAGGGGGGTCATGCAAAGATGAGAACACCACCAAGTCTAATAAACCAGAAGCAAATTTTATTCCAGAAACCAGATCCTCGTATAACCAGAAGCAAACTTAAAAATAAAAAATAAAAATAAAACACCATGGGGCACAGAAGCTTATCAGCTAGCTGAGACCCCAGCCAGAGATGGTGTTTGTTAGGCTGTGGCAAAAGGCCGGTTTTTGAACCTACTTTTTATAGTAGGGGCACCAGGCACTAGGTTTGGGTAAAGGAATTTTAACAACCTTGTCCTGACCCTTGGGCTGATCAGCAGAGACCCGAGGGAGGGGAGTGAGTGCTAATGTCAAGGAGAAATTTGGAATTAACTGGTTTCTGGGCTGAGAATTTAGAAGGAAAAACCTTTCACACTGTTTCCAGGTAAATGTTCAGATACTGACTGCCATACTTTATAACCTCCATTATCAGAGCTCATTAATTAAACCTTTTTATTTATCCACTGTCTCCTGGTACCTCTGGGTGTAAACTGGAGTCTTATGCCTCTCCTCTGGTTGTGCCAGTTTCCCATAACAGAGTCAGTGTTTGACCCAGAGGTCACATATCTCTGTCTCCTAAAGGTTAAACTCAGTTCGCATCTACTGTTTATCAAGGATGGTCAGGACACTGCTCTTAATTTGTAGAGAGACACTCTGGCCTTGTAAATAAAACAGCCAGTTGTAAAATTGAAAGACTCCCGTGGGCGTCTTCCTTCGGGAGAGACCCTGTGCCCAGAGATCAATCGAAAACACGCAGCCGGATGCAAGCAGCAAGAGGTTTATTGGATACACAGGTACCTGGGGCGACAGAGTCTCTCGGAGGACTTGCGCGCCTGCAGATTGGGGGTGAGGGGTTTTTATAGGAGAGCAAAAAGCGAGGTTTACAGAAGCGAGACGCAGGGTGGTAAATTCTTAACCTAGATAACAATGAGGGGACTACTCAGCGGTTTACTGTTTCTCTTATCCTGCCTCTTCTTCCTGGCTGGTGACCAGATGTCTGATTGCACAGCCCCTGACTCGTGACGAGCCCCGCTTTATGCATGACTCAGGCCTCGCAATCCTCTCTTTGTTTCTATGACCAATCCATAAATCTCCTGTCTTGCAGCCAGATAAGGCTGTCCTTGCTCTAACCTCAGGTATCTTTGCTCAGCATTCCGGAGGCCCTGAATTCCGGAGGTCCTTAATGGAGCTTGTTATCTGCTCAGCATTCCGGAGGCTCTGAACTCCGGATGCCCTTAATGGAGCTTGTTATCTGCTCAGCATTCCGGAGACTCTGAACTCCGGAGGCCCTTAATTAAGCTTGCTATCTGAAAAACCTTTGCAGAACGGCATAACTGTGGTTAAAACGCATTGGGGTCCTTCAAAATGACCTATGCTTCCCAAGCATCTGAGAAAATAACTCACTGTGAATGAATGATCCTTGATCTGCTGAGAAAGCTGCTGATAGTCTGTTCTCATTCTCCTAGACTTATAACTTTATATTTCTTTATTTCTACATTTTTATTTTTTTTTATGCCTGGACTCTTCACCACCAAGTCTGATAAACCAGAAGCAAACTTTATTCCAGAAACCAGATAGTAGGAAAACTAGAAGCAAACTTAAAAATAAAAAAATATAAATAAAACACCACAAGGCACAGAAGCTTATCAGCTAGCTGAGACCACAGGCAGAGATGGTGTTTGTTAGGCTGTGGCAAAAGGCCAGTTTCTGAACCCACTTTTTATAGTAGGGACACCAAGCATTAGCTCTGAACAAAAGAATTTTTACAACTTTGCCCTGACCCTTGGGTTGGTCAGCAGAGACCCTAAAGAGGGGAGTGAGTGTTAATGTCAATGGGTAACTAGGCTGCCATCATAAAATATGTTTTAGAGGAGATTACAACAAAGGTCACTAATTGCGAGAAAACAGATGACTTTAATAATTAGTCAGAAAGGGACTGCTAGTAACACTAGAAGTTTAATAAATTAGGATTAACTGATTCTTCGGCTGAGAATTTAGGAGATAGCAGAAAGCTTTTCACACTATCTCAATGTAAAGCTAAGATACTGACTGCCATACTTTACAACCTCCATTATCAGAGCTCATTAATTAAACCATTGTATTAGTTCACTATCTCCTGGTACCTCTAGGTGTAAACTGGAGTCTTTTGTCTCTCCTCTGGTGGCACCAGTTTTCCACAATGGAGACAGTGTCTAACCCAGAGGTCACATATCTCTGTCTCCTAAAGGTTATCTCAGTTTATCAGGGATGGCCAGGACACTACTCTCAATTTGTAGGGTGAAACTCTGGCCTTGTAAATAAAACAGCCAATTGTAAAATGACCTATGCTTCCCAAGCAACTGAGAAAATAGCTTACTGTGAATGAATGATCCTTGATCTGCTGAGAAAGCTGATGATAGTCTGTTCTCATTCTCCTAGACTTATATCTTTATATTTCTTTATTTCTACATTCTTATTTGTGGAACGTACATTTTTATTTTCTTATTCCTGAACTCTTCAACACACAGAGAAACACTTAAATAAAATTTAAAATTAAACTAAGTATACAATAAATAGAAGCAAAACACCTTTAATATCATCCCATCACTCAGGAGGCAGAGTAAACTCTGAAAGTCATGTTTTCAGTGCTATGTAAAGAGATGCCCCCACGTCAATATATGAACAAAGAAATATGGAAAGACAGTGCTGGCTGGTGGGGGGAGGTGTACATGACTTTACAGGAGGGGTTTTATGGGATTAAAATAGACAATCTTGTCCTTCACAGGCTGCAGAGGAAACCTTCTTTGGTCTTACCAAAGTTCAGAGAGCCATCAGGCACAGTGAGGTAGAAAATTAGGCTCCTCCTAGAGATTCTGAATGGAGGCCTAGCCCCATGTTCTAAAGCAGAGACAGGGAGGGAGGGCCTAAGTGGTAGGCACAGAGGAGCTAGGATGCCCACAGTGGTATTTGTGCATTTGCTCCTGTCTTGGGTAGTGCCATTTCAGTCAGTCAAACTGCTGTCCACCTGCAGAGAAGAGGAGAGATCCAGCTGGGTGGTGTAGTGGTGGCACTTGGGAGTTCCAGAACTGGTTCCAAGGCTACAACTTAGAGTCTGGTTTTCTGTGCTCACTGCCCAGCAGAGATTTCTGTTCATATGATTCTGAGACCTATCCCAATTTAATAGTTCCATTGCCCTATCATAAAGGATGAGGGCATTACATACACACTTGCTTGACATCACACACATACACTGGCTGCATGTCTGCCTGCCTGCCAGCCTCTGTGAACCCTGTGAGTGTGCCTGGTACCTTCAGAAGACAGAAGATGGGGGGGTGGTTTCTGCTGAAATTAGAGTTATGGATGGCTGCCAGCTGTTTCTTGACTGCTGTGAGGAGGGTGGGACAGGAACTCATCAAAGACAAAGACAGGCTAGACAGGAGTTTTCAGTAGAAAACTGAACTGAGTAGAAACCATTTTAGTGTTTTCAGAGTTATGTCTGAGGAACATTCTACTTATACAAAAGAAAACCAAATCCTTTCAAATGTCCAGATGTCCTCTGAGGGGGTGAATGAATGACAGAAAAGAAAAGAAGATAAGAGGGTTTCAGTTTTTCCAAAATCTGCAGGGCAAAATTTCCCCTTATATGGTGTACTGGAGAATAGCAAGAGTTCCCGCTGTGTTGTGTCTAGTTTTTCTCAGTTGAGGTTGGATGGTGTCAACTATAAG